TCAGCGGTTTTTCTCTGCTAGCCTGATTGGGAAGCCCGGGAGACGTTTCCTCACCCGTCAGATGGTCGTTGACGGTGCAGGTCAGCAGCCAGTGTCCGGGGTTGTCGGCCACCATTTCAGCCGTGGTGCTGGAGGCCGGGAAGAGGCTGACCATGTCTGTGTGGTGGTTCAGGTTGGTCAAGATCTGGCCGTGGAAATGAACTGAGTGCATGTCCACCTGTGAGAGAGACAAAGTTACAACTTCAAGCAGGACTGGTTAGATAAAAGTGAAACCAGGCAGATGGATAACTCAACTGAAATGAAACTAAAACTAAAGTTAACAAACAACATTTATTTTTATTTAATGCCAGAATAAGGAGACAAAGTGCTTCAAGTTCACATTTTGCACCTTTTGTTCTTCCATTTGGGTTTCTACTGCTTCTAAAAACATCTCAGGCAGTTAGAAAAATCACCCAGCCATTTTCATTTAACATTTTTAATGTTTTATAACATGGCATTTTTCCCATGTTATAAGTGAAATAATCTGCCAGTGGAACTAGTGCTTTAACTCAATTTTAAGAAATTATTTGCTTAAAATAATTCAAAAGTGACTAGTTTTGTACTATTTCAAGTGTACTGAGATATAAGTGTTAGCCAAAAACACTTGGTAAAATTTTGTGTTTTTACAAGAAAAATTTATTCACAAATATATCTGGATTCAACTTGCATTACTACCAAAGTATAATTCACATATTGTTTTCATAAACCATTGAAGTTTGGCAGTAGAAAACTTTTCCCAGTATATCAATTGAAACCAGTTAAAACTAAGAAGTCCCATTTAATTATTCCTACAGTACTTTAAATAAACTTGTAAAATAATAAAAGTAGAAGCTGTTACCTCATTGCCGAGGCCAATCAGCTGCCAGTGGATCTTGTTGCCTTGACACGCGCTCAGTCCAGGCAGGTTTCCGTAAAGATAACCATTTATCCCTGTGACATAAACAAAGTATTAAACCTCAACTTTTCAGTTTGCATATTAAAAGTACCAACGGCTCGCACCATGCATCTTGTTGCTCTCTATAAAATCTTCGTCCTCCTTCAGATCTCTGATGGGATTTGTGATGTGTGTCCTGATATTGTCGTCAAGGTACCAGCTCAGGTTCTCATCCGACACCATGAACAGCAGAGCGTAGGTGTAGTCGGCTGCCCTGTCACCATGGATGTCCAGAGTTCCTACAGAACACATAAAATCAGATTTTCAAATAATTACTCCATTTTATATGAATAAAAGATTTACAGTTTATCTCAAAGTCAGAAGAAAATGAAACACTTGACAAATTTCCTTGATTTTAAAAGGGAATGTCATGAAAATACTTTTTTTTTTTGCAATTAAACAAATTTTTTGTGTACTTTGAGTGTCTTGGATTGCAGAAAAGTTGAATTTAGTCTCCTGGCTCTGTTTAGCTCATATTTTTTCAGGGTTTTTTTATTCCGTTACATTTTTCATACTAAGAAGTCAGTATTCGCTGCAGAAGTAATTTAAAAGTAAGATAGGAAAGGTGTAAAGGAAAACAAGTTGGCTTTTTAATAGAGATGCAAAGTGTCTACACTGCAAAAACACAAAATTTTACCAAGTATTTCTCTGTCTAGTTTCTATTGCTAATATCTTACTACACCAGAAATAAGACAAAACTGACTTGAAAATAACTTTTCAGCAGGAAATAAGAGCTTATTTTAAGTAAATAAGTCCTTAATGTAGATTAAAAAGTACCAGCTTCACTGGCAAATTATTTCAGTTATGACAAGAGACTTTTCCATAAAAAACATGAAAATTTCTGAGCTCTAAAAGTTAAACATTTTTGACTTTTGAAATGCAGAAAATTCCATGTTTTTTTAAGGGAAATATTCTGAGATTAATCTCATAATGTTTGAGTTTTCTGTCTGAAATTCACCTCCTTTTTTTCTATCTAATGCCCCTAATAACAGGCAGGCAGACTACAATTCTAAGACAGAGAATCAACGTCATCGTTCACAACTTCTCCTTCTGGTTGCTGATTGGCCCAGTTGAATTCTAATCCAAGTCAATGGGAGAAATCTCAGACTGTGCTTCGAAGCAAGGTTTGAATGGAGTGGATTGCGTATGAAATCACTGGCCAGGCTGTAGTTGTTATAATTGGATTGAAAAAGTACCTCGCTTGCAGGTAAGCAGAGGTCCTATAAGTCCAGAGGCGATGTCTTTTGGGGGGCGGACATGAGAGTGGTAGAACCTGGTCATGCAGTTGCTGTCTTCAGCTGTTGGGCTGTGGGATTCTGGGAGAGTCCACTCATACGTCACAGTGGTACCAGGAGCCACTGCGTCGTCCCTCTTCTGCTGTGGACCTGTGCCGTCTGGGTACAAGGCTCCTGGAAGCACAAGCACACTGTCGATGTTAATCTAAACATTTTAATGTGTTAATGTTGCATAGAAATACGCAAGAGGGTTATAGCCACTGGGAAAAATACTTTTTCCTCAAAATTATGATTTAATCTAAGAATTCTGACTTTTACTAAAAATTAAAAAGAAAAATTCTATAATTTCAGACTTTAAAAAATGACTTTTTTCTAAAAATTCGGATTTTTTCTTTATTCTGACTTTTTTTTCCTAAGAATTCTTTTTTTCACCACTTTTGTCACATTTAGCAAAAAATAAATGTAAAAAAATCGGCTGCCGTTAGGTGACTGCGTACGACGTACATATTGCAACAATGGATTATCCTTCCACCAAAGCACAAGCAGTTCACAAAATCTTACCAAAGTATTTCACTTGAAATAAGACAAAACCTACTTAGAAGTAACTTTTCAGCAAGAAATAGGAGCTTGTTTTAAGTCAATAATTTCTAATATGGATGAAAAAGTTCTACCTCCACTGGCAGATTATTTCACATATATCATTTTTCGCATGCTACAACTGAAATAATCTGCGAGTGCAAGTAGAACTGGGTTCTTAGGTGACGGGTTGTTGCGAAGTAACAGCAAAAGTGGAACTCGAACTTTTCCATGAAGGAACACAGAATGAGGTTTCTGTTCTTCTTTCAAACAGCTGAGGTGTTTTTTGGTTTTGCTCGGTTCTCACCCTCGTTCCCTTTCGTGTAGTTGAGTCCGTGCGCGTGGACGCTGTACGGTCTGGAAGCCGAGTTTCTCAGGTGGACGATCACTGTGTCGCCGTTCTCCGCCATCAGCAAGGGGCCCAGGTATCCCAGCCATTCTGGCTTCTGCAGTTCCGTCCTGTAGGTGGCGTCGCTGTACTGTTTGTAAACAGCCTTTTTGTAGACTGGGCCAATGCGTTGGGGACGTTTTACTAAAAACACAGAAGCATCTCTGCAAAGATATTTGCACATAGAGAAAACTATTTACATTGGTTTTACATCACAGAAATCACACGTAAATGTTGTTGTGATCGCCTGTTTTAAAGATTTAAACTTTTTTCCCTATACTTCCCCTCAGCTAAACATAAACATATTTGGTATCCATGGAAACGTCAAACTTTTCACTGCAAAAACAAAAATCTTACCAAGTATTTTGGAAAATGAGTTGTTTCAAAAACCTCCAGAATGCAATGTAACAAATAAACAGGCACTGCCCCTTACCTAGCAACCCCAGCCTGTTACCTAGCAACCTCTGCAAGGTCCAGCCCATTGCCTAGCAACCAGCATGTTTGCTCAGCTGTAAAAATATATCGTCAAATAACAATTTCTTATTGTTTTATTACAATTGGATAAAAAAAATAAATAGATGTGTGTATTTAAAAAAACAAAAACAATTTTAGATATGTAAAAATAAGTTTAGTAAGTAAAAACACAGGAACTCCCCAGTTTTGTAGATGTAGCCAACCTTTGCTAGTGGCAAAAAGTTTATTTTTTAAAATTATTATTATTTGCTTTGCTTTAACTCACCTGCATAAATCATTGACAAGCAATGTAGTTCTATGATTTCCAAATGTTTGTTGCCTTATTTACGATATTTCTAAAAGGTTTATATACTGTATGATTAAAAAAAATTCAAAAAAAAATCCTAATTATTTTATGTTGAATCCTCAAAACTGATTTATAAGTAACCTTTCAGCTAGATATAGGCTTGTTTTACGTCAATAATTCCTTCATATTGATGAAAAGGTATTTGATTCATTCTATTTAAATTAGCAAGACATTTTTCTCATAAGTGAAATAATCTGTCAGTGGAACAAGTACTTTTTCTTCAATATTAAGGAATTATTGATGTGAAACAAGCTCTTTTATCCTGCTGAAAACTTACTGGTAACTTAGTTTTATCCTAATTCAAGTATGAGTATATATAAGTATATCATGCTTATATATAGCAAATATCTAAGTATACTTAGATATTTGCAGTAGAAACTAGACCAAAAATACTTAGTAAGATTTTGTTTTTGCAGTTTAGGTTTTTTGCATGTTAAAATTAACATAGGAAACATTTCACATATAAATTCTGTCAAAGTTTCATGTGTGGAGTTTTTTTACATGCTACACATTTAGTCACAATTGCCTATTAAAATGTCAGTTTGAACAAATTAAAAAAATCATTCTATCTTTATAAAATAGTAAAATGAACAGTTATTTAACAGGCGTACTTACTCATCCTCCTGCAGGGTTCGATTCTGGATGACGTTCTTCCCAGTTGGAGCATAATTCCAAGAAACCTCCTCTATCTTAAGAAAATACTCTCTTCTCATTCCTGCAGCACATACTGCAGCACAACACAACAACAACACAACTCCAAATTTCTTCATTTTTATCAATTAAAACATCAGACAAACATTAACAAGTGAAACAGATGCACAGACAGCTGCTCTATGCGCTTTCCCTGTCTTTTTATACTGCTTCCACTGACGGACTGCTGAGATCAGGCACAACGCCAAGGGGGTCACTGACCATCGGACAATGCAAGACAACCATTTGATCAGCGGGTCGCACTTGCATAACGTCAGGAAACATCCGAACTTTAACCAGAAAACCGCTTCATCAAACGTGATTCAAAAAGTTTGATCAGTTTCTAAAATCTAGCAGCAGAATTTGACGTTTCCTGGACCAGTTTAGATTAGTTTCAACTTTATTGTAGACGTCTTATGAGGAAGTACTGTGTGAAAAGTCAGAGATGTTAAAGAATGGAAACTAAACAGAATAAACTGCTTTTCTTCTGTTTTTACATATTTTTGTTTGTACTAACGGTGAAGCATCATAGACACCAAAGTTCAAAAGTTTAACCAGTAAGGAAAATACTTTGACTTTTGATCCAGTCAACGTCAAAAGTCAAGATAAATAGGTTAACCACCTATTTCCTTTCATAATAATTATTTCATGATAATTATTCAGTAACAAAAAACATAATCATATAGTCCCAAAATGAATTTATCTTTATTAAAAAGTTTGAAATGATTAATGATTTAGTTATTTCCTAATAAGGTAAGTCTCTATATTACGGTAAGTCCCATCTTGCCTGTCAAGGTTTAAAGGTAACATTTACTCAATTTGGTGCCACACCAATCAATAATAGATAACTGTGGAAAGTCCAGAACGAAAACATGAGGGAATGGATTTCCACACACCAAACATACGTGCTTTCCTTTTCTGACGCACTTCCAATGTTCCTTTTGTTTTACATGTAATTTCTTCAGAAATTATTGAAATACTGTTACTATTTTTAAAACCCAGATAAAATGTCAATAAAAATAGTCATGGTAAATAAATGGAAGGATATACAACTTAGTGGAAAGACAAAGAACCATACATTAAAATACTGTTTGGTATTATGAAATGCTCTCATTGATGTCTGATATTTTTTTGCTTTTTATTTCTAGAAAAGAAAGTGGGTTTATTACCTGGCAATAAAAACAAAATACGATTTTTAATCATTTATTAAAAGGTATCAACAAAAATCTGTATTCCAACTGGAGAAAAATCTAGGACACACTAGAGATAAACCAGCTGACCAAATGTTCTTGGGTTGCTAGGTAACAGGGCTAGGCTCAGCAGGGGTTGCTAGGTAACGGGTTGGGCCTCACAGCAGGGGCGGTGCTTGCTGAATTACATTCAGGAGATTTTTGAGACAGATAATTTTCAAGAAACAAACATTTGGTTTAAAAAAAAGTTTCTTTTTTTTTTTTGTCAAAAATTTGCAAGGAAAACTCAGGCGCTATGTAATAGTTTTTGAATGGAAGTGAATTTTTACAAAAATCACACCAACTGTATAAATAAAATTTAAATTATTTATTTACTCAAGGCAGCACAAATAAACAGCACATTAAAAAAAAAACATAACTAAAAACAGATATAAAATGTCATTCAATAATGAACTACCAACTGACAGATATCACGGCAGCAATTTACAGCAACAGGTAAAAAACACACAAAAATACCTAAAAACTTGATAAAAGGACACTTGAAGGTTGAAGGTACTTTCATTTACACAGTGTGTGTGTAAATGAACACACACACACACACAGCTTAAAGAAAACATCCAGACTTTATTTTGTAAGATTGATGTGAGTAATTTAAAAGACAACCTCTTAACAACAACAGTCACTCCACACTATCATGAAATTCATCACTGATGTGTCAAACTCGAGTCGCTGGGGCCAAATCCAGTCCATCATAGCTAATCATGTGGCCACTCACAGCGACACATAGATAATCCCTCCAAGGTAACAGCTATGTATTTAAATATAATTTTATCAGTCAAATCAAAGCAGTTTTTTGTAGGAACATCAATGAGTTCCTACAGTTCATCACAATTACACAGTTATGGAAATGCACTTTTTCCTCACTTAAGACTTTATTTTAACATAGATGTAAAGTTTGTCAAAATGTATTACTCAAATTTATTATGCTTAGCCAACAAATTGTTTCTTGTGACATTTCTTGGTGTATTTAAGTTCTGTAATGCTGCTCTTGCATAAGCAGTTGGCGGTTACCATAGCAACCAGTAACTGACAGCTCCTCCCCTTTTTCTGTTGCCGTCGGTAACTGTGGTATGTATTGGGATCAGCTCTGTTTTCTTCACAAGTATTAATATTTTAACATGTCTTAGACAAATTTAATCATATACAGTATTTCATGTGTAATTTTGTCATGTTTTTTTCTGTTTTTAACTTGTTTTATTAATTTCATTTTAGCTTTGTTTAATTTTACAACTGTTAGCTGCTGCTTGGGAATCTTTGCTCTGTAGTTTGTTTAGGGTAATTTATTGTATTTTATTTAAGGCATAGGGCAGAAGCTCTTTTGTTAGAATATATATAGAGAACCTGAGTGTTTCTGTTATGAAGTCAACCTACTGGACCTGAGACGAACATAGAAGGGTTACACGACTGTGAATTTATTTATCATTTTCCATAAAAACTGTCAAAAACATTGGATTTATGTGGGTTTACTTCTATTTCATTGCTGCCTCAGCGTTATTTTAGTCCATGACCGATGGCGGCAAGTAACAAAAAGTCACATTTACTGTTTTACGTATATCATTTACAATTATCACAAAAGTTTTTACAAGTATTTCTAAGTTAGCTCCGCAAAATCCATTATGTTGATTGCAAAAAAGAAAAAAAATCACAAAATTGCAAAATCCTGCAGTGGCTACAACGGCGTATGAGAACCACTGTAGATACAAAAAACTGGAGAAAATATCTGGCAAAAAATTTTCATTTTGATATTAACCTCAGAAATTCCCCAGAAAATATGTGGAATTTCTAAGTTTGAAAAGAAAAAAATTCAGAAATTTTTAGATTAATTTCAGAAATTTTTGTGTGAAAACTTGGACAGTTCTGGTTTTGAAAAGTTGAACATTTGCTGGAGAAAAACTCAGAACTTTTGAGGTAGATCTCAGAAATTTTCTAGAAAAAAAGTTTGAAATTTTCTGAGTTTCAAAAGTGGAATTTTTTTTTACTTTTGACACAAAAATTTTTCTCTCAAAATTTCAGATTTTTTTACTCAAATTTTTAAAAATTTCAAGTTCATGGATTTCAAAGTTTCTTTCTTCAAAATTTCTGAGCTTAATCTCAAAATTTCTGAGTCTTTGAGTGGAAATTGATACTTTTTTTGTTTATCTTCAATGGCCCTAATATGCCATTGTTCATTATTATTTAATTTTAAGAAGCACATATAGCGACACAGCAATTTATTAAAATTTTAACAGTTTGTTAATGGGTTTTATGAATGCATTCTGGTACAGTCGGCCCTTTGAGAACATTCATGATCTTGATAAGGCCTAAAATGACAATGAGTTTGACGTCCCTGATTTGGCCCATCAGCATGAGACAGCTTACCTGTGTCTATATTTCAGGTGTTGCTGTGTTGTACTGCTGTTTCTGTGATACGCCCAGCGTCCACGCAGATGTACCTCTCTAAGCGTTGAGACTGTACTCCTGCTTGTAGCAGCAGGGCCGGCAGATGGCGTTCACTAAACCGTTTCCAAGCTGTAGGAGACAGATAATGAATTCCAGTACCGCGAGGCCCAGTAAGACGCACAGCAGAGTGACGTTCCATTCTACGATGTTGATGGGCTGGAGGCACCACGACCAATTTTCAGGCTGCAACAGATACCTGGGAAGCACAGAAGAGAGAAAGTGACAATCAAGAACTGGTTTTGTCTTTCAGGACACTGAAAAAACATGAAATTTTACTAAGTGGTTTTTGGTCTAGTTTCTAAAGCACATACTAGACTTGCAAATAAGAGAAAAGTAGCTTATAAGATATAGGCACTTGTTTTAAGTCAATAATTCCTTTAAATTGATTTTAAAAAGTCCACTGCGCCGTTACCTAGCAACCCCAGCCAAGCCCAGCCTGTCACCTAGCAACCCAGTTCTAGTTCTACAAGCTCCTATATTTAGCTGAAAAGTTTCTTAAAAGTTTGTTTTGTCTTATTTTAAAATAAGACAAAACAAGAAACTTTTCAGCAAAATATAGGGGCTTGTTTTAAGAAAATAAAACTTTACTATTGAAAAAGTACTAGTTGGGTAGAACATATTTATAGAAAAAAATGTAACTCAAATATTTTTTCCACTGTTCTGGTTTAATTACTGCTTTGAATATGTTGTTCTTTCAGCAAATGACCTTATTTAGAGTCCGTTTACTTCAGTTAACGATTAATCCATTACTAAATTAAGTTGACAGTTATTTGACTAATCAGTTAATCATATCAGCCCTGATCTAGATGACGGGGCTGATGACAGCCCAAACCTGTTTGGGAAATGATCTACTGAAGAGAACTTTGTAGAAGTTGTGCATCCCGTTTCATCTGACATAAAACTACAGCAGCATTTTTAAAAAGTCTTAAGATATGAAAGTACAGCAACAACGATAATCTTCTTGATGTAAAATGTTTTTATAATTGTTATTATTGGGTGTCCTTACCTGCCGCGCTGGTCTGCAAAGGGGTATGACCACCCATAGGAGGTGAAGCAGTGGGGGCCCTGAATCAAAGCCAGGCCTGAAATGACGAAGCAGTAACCAGAGCCCAGGAGGCCGATGATGGCCGCCAGAACCGAGCCGCACATCTGTGAAGGCACAGCGGCACACAGGCAGTGTTTTAAAAACAACAAACTAGTGTTTACTCTGCAAAAACACAAAATTCTACCAAGTATTTTGGCCTAGTTTCTGCTGCAAATATGTTAGTACACTTGAAATAAGACAAAAATATTTTCACTAGAAACTAGACTAAAAAATACTTTTGTGTTTTGCAGTGTGGATTTGGTTTGGAGTGTAAGCTGCAACGAATAAATGTTGACCGTTCCACTTCATCCCTGCTGAGCTTGAAAAAACAGGCTCAGCTGCTACACACACACATATAGACGCAGCTGTGCTTGAATGGTATTCAAGCTCACTTTGGTGTGTGTTTCTTAACAATGGGAGCCTTGTTCAGGAATCATGGGAGACTCAGCATTAGCACTTCAGCTCTATCTGATAGAAATCTAGTGTTAGCTTGGCTATTACTACCTAATACAGTGGTGCCCAAAGTCGGTCCTGGAGGGCCGGCATCCTGCATGTTTTAGTTCTCTTCCTGGTTTAACGCACCTGAATCAAATGATGGCTCATTACAGGCCTAAGAAGAACATTGACATGCTGAGAAGGTTGTCACCGCCACCAGGGAGAGAACTGAAACATGCAGGATGCCGGGCCTCCAGGACCGACTGTGGACACCTCTGACCGAATGCTTTACTCTCAAAGTGGTGACAACAAAATAATAATATAATTGCAAAAACGGCATTATATGCTGACGAATAAAGACACAGAAATGGATACAAATGTCAAAATGTTTCACTCAGAAACAGAAGGAAGTGCTAGCTTAAGTGCTAGTTTGCATTAGCACTTCAGCTCTATCCGATATGAGTCTAGTTTTATCTTGGTTATTGACGACTTAATAAACTGAAAAAACTCCAATAAATATAAACTGACTGAAAAAAATCTGAAAGCAATAGAAATGTTGAAATGTTTCATTCAAACACAGAGCGAAATGTTAGCTAAAGAGCCAATTAGCATTAGCACTTCAGCCATATAGGATAGGAATCTAGCTTTATCTTATTGACTTCTTTAATGTATTACTCTGAAAGGGGTGAAAACAAAATTATAATAATAGAACTGCAAAAAAGTCCAGCTGATATATAGAGATTGAAAAAAAGAAACCTGTTGAAATGTTTGCCTGTCAGATAAGCTGAATGCTCTAGATGTGTATCAGAACCCATAAACAGTTGCTGGTGCAGAATGTTCCCCTCCTGTATATTTTGAGCACTGGTCCCAGCGTAAAACGTCTCCTACCATTAAGCTTTCATTCCAGCAGCATCTGCATTTCCCTAGAGTGATGAAGGCCACAGCTGGAATCAGCATCTGGAAAGACAGAACGGATTCTTCTGTTACAGTTTCTGAGCAATGACATTTTCCCCTTTATCTAACTTATTATTCTGTTGCCAGATAATTTAATAAAAAAGGAATATTATGAAGGTTCTGCATGTAACTGTAGATTTAAGTTTTCAATGCAAAACAGGTTCATTTAATTAAAACAGCTATACATCATTATAAAAATGAATTTAAAAAAGTAATAACTAGTAAAGCGCATGTCTGAACAGAGCTTTTTAATTTAATTATTAAACACAAAATCTTACCAATTATTTTTGGTCTAATTTCTAGTGTAAATATCTTAGTACACTTGAGTTAAGGAAAAACTAACTTAAGCCCAGCTTGTTACCTAGCAACCTCAGTGAAGCTTGGCCTGTTACCTAGCAACCAGGACATCTAGTCAGCTGGTTTTAATTACGTTTCTTATTTAACGGAAACACCAAAATCTCAAAATTGCGATTTTTTGACTTTTGCATAATATGGTCAAAGTTTTGCACTCATTTGTAACGGAAACACAGTTTGTTCTTTCCCCCCTGTCTGGGAGGAAGAGAGGGACTCTGATCCTCTTTCCTGTGTTGCTGTCCGTCTCCCAGAGACATTAATCACATGCTAACAAAAGGAAAGGATGTTCCAAAATGTTTTCCACACCCGCAAAGTGCTCAACCGTCAGAATTTAGTTAAAATACACATCCTGCATGTCAAAAGAAAAGATTAAAAGGGAGTCTGACGACAGGGAGGGAAGTGCACGGCTTGTAAAGAGGAGAAAAGGAAAGACGGAGGGAGGATACACGTGGGAGAGGAAGTTGGGGGAGCTGCAGATGGATGTTCTCAGAGGGATTCAGTTTGTTCTTTGACCTACTAACTTTATGTCATTTCCTTCCATCTGCTTAGAAATAAGCAGGAAAAATATTAAATGACTGAGATCTCATAGCTTTCAGATTCTAGAAAGTGTGACCTAATTTATAATTGAAATTTTTTAAAGCGAAAAAATGTCCAGCAGGTTTTTTGATATGGAGAAGCTTGGAATCTAAAAGAAAATTACATTATTACCTCTAGTTATACCTAAAAATATGTTTCTGATCTTTATTCAACTTAAAACGCAAAAAAACACAAAATGATACCAAGTATTTTTGGTATAATTTAGTAAAATTATCTTAGAACACTTGAAACATATATATCAGTTTAAAGGAATTGTTGACTTAAATCCAGCATTTACATCTTACTGAAAAGTTGCTTGTAAATTAGTTTAGTCTTATTTCAAGTGTACTAAGATAGCTTTACTAAAACCTAGAACAAAAGTATTTAGTAAGATTGTGTACATACTTAGTAAAACGTACAGCGCATACCGTGGTAAAACCAGCTGACCAAATGTGCTGGTTGCTAGGTTTTTGCTGGGGTTGCTAGGTAACAGACTGAGCTTTTGCTGGGGTTGCTAGGTAATGGGCTGGGCTAAAGTTAATTTTGCTATTGATAGTTTCACTAGAAACTAGATAAAAATACTTGGTAAGATTTTGTGTTTTCGTAGTTTACCTCTTTCTGTTTATATTTATATACCAAAACTGATTTGAGTTTCCTGTGTGGAATAGAAAAGAGAAAAGTTATTCGTATTTTATTTTAAAATCATCAATCAGAGATGATCAATGGGAAATTGGATGATTTCTATCCTTGATCGATTGATTGTTGTGTTTCTTTGATTTTTACCATAAATAAAAATGGAGTATTTGTAAACTTCTCCTGTGTAAATCAAATTGCTCTTGTGGTCCTCCGTCCAGTAGGGGGCGCTAATCAGTTATACCTCAGTTCTGACCAGTTTCAGTTCTTTATCACACTTCATTCATGTATCATTTCAATTTTCTTGTGTTATTTCCTTTAAATCCACCTACAACTGGCTTAATTAGCACAGAGTGTCATAAGTTACACTTTATGGACTGGTATGTAGGTTTAATTTTAGTTGTAAGGCACAATCTTTCTGTTGCTGGGTGAAAAAGAACAGCTCCTTTCTGTTCAATTAGAGCAAAACCCCATCAGCTCAGCGGCGTGCAAAGCAGACAGATTAACTGTAGATGTACAAAACGCTTCTTTGTTCCCACTGAACAACTGCAAACGCACTCAGACTGAATGGTGGCAAAGGGGAACAATTTATACTCTGTAATTTTTCAGGGCAAAATCCACTTTAACTTACTAAAAAAATACATTTAAAGACACAAAATAGTGCAAACTGACATTACGCTGCAAAAACACCAAATATTACCAAGTATTTTTGCTCCAGTTTCTAGTGAAAACATCTTAGTAAAATAAGACAAAAGTAACTTTTCAACAAAAAAGGAACTTATTTTAAGTAAAAAATGAGTTAATATTGATGAAAATATACCAGGTAAAAGTGAAATAATCTGCCAGTTGAACTAAATTAAGGAATTATTCATTTAAAACAAGATTATACAACTTGGCAAAAAGTTAACTGTGTTTGTTTTGTCTTATTTCAAATCTACTAAGATACTTGAACTGAAAACTAAAGGAAATAGTTGATAAGATTGAGTGTTTTTGCAGTGTAATCTCTAATGAATAAGACAGGAAGGGAGGAAACGCTTTTGTTTCCATAAATATCTAACAACAATTTCTAAAGATACATTCATTCTTTACTTTTTAAATATGACTATAAAATATATTTTGAGTAAATATGAAAGAAGATTAATGGTTTATATTGCTTTAGGTTTCCCCATTAATAAATTTAAAACAATAATAATGCTTTATTTGTAGAGCAATTTTTTACACAAATGAACATAAAACAGCATCCATCCTACAAGACACAAGGTAAAAGTAAAACCAATTTAAATCAATTTTAAATTATTTAAATTTCAAATTGATTAAAATAAACTTGATTGATTTACATAACATAATAAAAATACAAAAGAAATTCAAATATTAAAAGCCTTTTTTTGTTTTTTACTTTCAAACAGACAAAGTAAAAGTAAGAAAAACTACAAATTTAAAAATTATCATGCCTACTGACATCCAATTTTACATTATTTGTTTGAAAAAAAAAGCAGGTAGAAGATGCAAGATTTTATGGTTTTCATACTAAAATCTGCAAACATTTACATGTTTTCATAACAGATAAGTTCTGAAATTATTCGCACATTGAATGACACTTAAACCTCACATTCTCATCCTTAAAAGTACAATTATTTAACATCAATATCATTTTTGGTCTCAATAAGCTCCTTTTTAAACACTTGTTTTTTAGTCCATCATTAGTTTTAACTAATGATTTAAAAGAATAAAAATTCCTGACCATAAAAGCCCTTTTTAAAAAAAAAAATCTAACTAAAGTTAATTTGTAATTAATGTTTTTACTCACCAGCAGCCCTCCGCCTCCCAGTCCACCAAAGTACCAGATGTAGCTGGCGAGTCGGTCCTGCTGGATGTAGGTGATTTCTCCCATTGGAAACAGCAGCAGCAGGTTGGCCAGAACACTGCAGAGCGCCAGCGGCAGCAGAGCCAGGCCCAAAGACCGGGCGAAACCCACCGAGCAGCACATCGAAAAACCAAAACACCAAACTCACAACGAGCAGAGGGAGACGGCGGAGGAGCTGGAGCGGCTCTGGAGAGGCGCTGGGAAGGAGAGGAGGGGAACAGCTGAAGGGACAGGAAGCGGGTTGAGTCGGAGTTAAAGGCTGGAGGGGGTTCTGACATGACAAAGGAGGAAACGCGTTCACGCTGACGAGACCCGAACGAACGGAAAAACAAAAAGTCCAGCAGGGATGATGGAGTTTCCCTCAGGCCGTTAGTCAGCAGAGACAAAATCAGGATGGAACAAAATAACTCAGAAGAAACAGCCGACATGTTTAATGACGTAAATATAAGAAAAAAATTAAGATTACAAGAATAAAGTCAAAATAAAGTAAAAATATTTAAAGGATAAAGTCCTATTATTACAAGAATAAAGTCACAATATTTTGAGAATAAAGTTTTATTCTATTATTTTATTCTTTTAATATTATGGCTTTATTAACTTATTTTCCGGTGCAGCAGTTTGTAAAATGTTCCAATATACGACTGAAATTATTCACAGAAAACAGAATTTATGACGGAGTGTTTGGGCTATACGAAGGAAAAATTTAAAATAAAGTTAAAATAACATGAGGATAAAGTTGTAATAATATGAGAATTAAGTCATAATATTACAAGAATGGTCGTAAAAAAATAGTCGAAATAATGTAAATATTATTTAAAATAATATTAAGACTATTCTCGTAAAACGACGACTTTATCCTCGTACCAGAACTTTTTCTTCTGAATTTTGACTTTATTCTCATATTATTGTGAATTTATTCTCATAATTTTATCTTTTTATTTTCTCAGCATGGCCCTAATACTTCATTGTAATATTTAGATTATATGTGTGTGTGTGTGAAAGAGAACCAGGTTTTCATATCCTCATGGGGCCTATTTCTGTCTACACTGTGGGGACCACGGCTCTCTGGGACATTTCTTGGTCCTCATGAGGGGAAATGCTGTTTTTGGGTTTGGGCTAGGTATGTGATGGTTAAAGTTAGGTTGTAGAAAATGAATGGAAGTCAATGTAAAGTCCCCAGAAGATGTGAAAACATGACTGCGTGTGTGTGTGTGTGCGTTTGTTTGTAATACCTTGTGGGGACGATTTTCCTGACATATACTACGTTGTGGGGACCATTTGCTCCTTGTGGGGACCAGAGCCTGGTCCCCACAAGGGGAAACCCTGTTTTTGGGTCAGGGGTCAGATTTAGGGCTAAGGTATGAATTGAGTTTTGGTTAGGGTTAGGTATGTGACGGTTAGGGTTAGGAAAAGGGTAAAGGTCAGGTTTAGGCTGTAGAAATGAATGGAAGTCAATGGAAAGTCCCCACAAAGATAGCCAGACAAATGTGTGTGAATTAAAACAAAAAGAAACATTAAGGTGTAAGGTGTTTCTTCCCAACAGGTTGGATGAAGTTTAATGTGTTGAACATCAACAGCGATAAAAGTTGTACATATTTATATTCCACAGGCTCATCATTTAACGTCCATTCAACTGAAGCTGAACATAAGGGACGCCGGATTAAGAGCCATTTCAGGCAGATTATGTCGCCTGGATTATGTCGGTGGGTCGTTAGCAGAGTAAACGGATCGTACCAGGTTGGGTTTGGATCTGTAAGGAGATTACCACTTTAACAAAGCCCAACATGAGGGAGATTTCATGCTCAAGTAGTGACTGTGTGAAACAATTCAGCGCCAACAGGGAAATTACATAATAAATTAATATTATTTAGATGTTTACATCAGGTGCTTTTTTCTCTGTCACCTACAGTAAGTAAATCTGATTCACTTTGGTTATTTAGTCAAATTCTACTTTTAAAAATATCTGCCTGCTTCGTGTCGGTCGTTGGGTCAGTTCATGACACCAACTGGTTCACAGCCATTTAACTTCTGAGTAGTGACAATAGCAGTGAGGTTCATAAAATTAAGCCATAATGTGTCGAGTTAAAAAACATTTAAAAAAACATGCAAAGTAAAACCAATATGTATTTTCTGAATATAAATTACAAACTGTATATTTTAACACATTTATATTTTTAATTAAGTCTTATTTAGTTCATTTTAATTAGTGTCAATCAATTTTATTTTTTTTTATTAAACTGTGGCATTATTGGGCTTCCATATTATACTGGGATGCCTGTAAAAAATCCTTAAAAAATAAACTGACAATCACAAGGACTTGAGTTCAGAGCATGAAAAAGCACTTTGATATTATTATTTCATTTCTTGATTGAGTCCAACAATTTGTGGCATCAGTGGTTCAATCACCAGGTTTCCTTTCAGAGAAATATTGAGAATATTCCTTGGTTACTTTGCAGATCTGCTTCTGCTGATTGCATCCAGTAATTGTCAGTGAACTTTGAACATTTGCAGAACAAACTCATGATTACTGATATCAGGAAATAAAGCACCTCATGCAGGTGCCATGTGACATCTGATACAAACCCAGCTGTTTGTCAAATATTAACCAGCATTAAAATCATTAAAACTAAAGTAAACAGAATAAAAATAGGAGTGCTAATAACAAAAGGTTAATTAAACCAAAATCATCATGAAAAACACATTTTGTTATAATTAATTAGCAGTGAAATGGTTCTGAATATTCTGGTCTTTCTGTTATTAGTATCCCTGAGCACATCCATCTGCTCTGGGGTCTGATCCTGCCCACAGCACCCTGGGTGGAGAGCCGCTTTGAGGGATGGAGTGACTCCACCAATCACCCACAGAGATTATCTGTCCACGCCCAAACTGAGCCCTCTGGTGGCCTACATATGGAAACACAACGGTGGTTTAAAAACAGGTTTCTCAAACATTATTCACACTTTTCCTGAGTAAAAACTCTAATCTCAGTCTTGTTTTTCAACTGTAATTACAAAACTGTAGATATTTGTGTACATTATCTACAATGATTAAAACAATTAATTGTGATTAATCAGTAATTGAGATAATTGTCAACTAATTTAATAATCGATTAATTGTTAACTGCGGTAGACATTCAGAAAAAGGCCATTTGCTTTTCTTTTTTTTGTACAGTAATTAAGCCAAAACTGTACAAAAAAACATAAATATATATTTCAATTAAGATGTAAAGAAAACTTTGTTGGTCAGTAAATATGTCCAACACAAAACCCTGAAGTTACAGTTTTAGCTTCACCGACTAAATTCTGTAAAAAAAATAAAAAATAAAGTCTCCTATTATTTTATTGCATTTTAGGGAATAAAATGGTTATGTTCTCATTTTAAAAAGGAATTGACTTAATTGTTTCTGTACATTTTTATGTATTTCTAAAATAATGGACTTCCTAAAATATTTTTTGCCAAAGGTAATATTTTGTAGTGGTTAAATAAAAAATCTGCAGAATGTGACACATTTGTTTATCCGATTAATCGATTAATTGAAAGAATAATCGACTACTTGTCAGAACAATTTACAGGAAAATCGATGAATGCAATAATTGTTAGTTGTAGCAGTTAAGATAATTTAAACTTTTTTATGTTCTGTTTTAGTTATTTAACAAACATAATCTGTTTGCATTTTTAAGGAAAGTGATTTGACTTCTGTGTCTCATTTAGTGAAGAGAAGAGGAACAAATGCCAACATCCTGCCTGTAAAAGGAACCAAAATGTTTTATGGAAACTACGGTTTATTGACATTAACACAGAATGTTATTTCAGCAACAGTAATTTTTTATGGATGTTACTATAAAGTATACCAATAAAACATTTATTGTGGCACATAAACTTCCTTTAACTGCTGGTGGTAAAATTTGAACTATAAGTCAATGCAGAACAGTCCAAACTACGACCAAAAGCATTTCTGACTTTTTAAATGCAGAAAATTTTAAATATATTTTGTACATTAAAAATAAAATACCTGTAACAGGCCAGTTGACTTTGTGGCCTCTTCTTTTCAGCTCCTCAGCCACTTCCTGGTCGATCCCTTCCTCCAAATTAACTAACCACTGACCAGCTGCAAGACAAAATCACAGAAACATTATTTCTCCTTCAAATTATGCAGAATTATAATTTTTATGCTTATCATCCCACAATACACGACAGAAAAGAGCTAATCAACCACCTTATGCAGGAATAAACCTCATATCTATATTTAAAGATAAAAATAAATTGTTATGGAGCAAAAAATGTAAAGTTTAAATATGGTAAGTCAATTCGGATGATTGAAATAAGTACAAATAACTTTACTATGTGTATTGTACTTATATTTTCCACTGGAAAATTCAGTTATGACAGATGCAGAAGCTATAAATAAAGCGTACTGTAACAGAACACTTAAGGCTGAAACGATTAATCGTGATGAATCAATTATTCAAATAATCAAATAATTTTGTATTTGCTTGTTAACTGAAGTATACAAACTCAAAAAAGCATAAGAAAAAAGATTAACACACTCAGAGCAGAAAAGCTTAAACTGTACAAATATACTGCATTTAAGGTTTTTTTTTAATGTCTCTAAATATCTCCAGAACTTCAAGTGGCAGTTTTAGCTTCATATGGTTTAAATTCTGTAAAACGAATCTATTACGCACCTTTTGCTCTTCAGTTATTAATTGGTTAATGCAGAAAATAATCAACAGATCTGTTCTAAACTGTATTGATGTTAATTCCAGCAGAAAGTCCCTGATATTTTTCACAAGTTTTGATGTTAGAATTATTTTTTTAGCTGCAGATGCATAGTTTGCTACAAATGATTAAGTGTTCACTAAAGGAACAATTCTTTATTATTTAAAAAAAAAAAAAAGGAATTTGGTTATTGGCATTTTTATTATATTTCCAATATTGTAGATAAATGTCAGTGGTTTCATGAGAAATCTGCAGAATTTGCTAATTTTTTTCTTTGATTAATTGATTAATCGTCAGTTGCAGCCCCGAACAAAATAACTAAAAGAGCCAAAAACAAATTGTTAGGGATATATTCCATACTGTGGTGAAAACTGTAGCGATGTTTTCATTGTTTGACTTTTTGAAAAATGTTTTAAGATGTATACTTTTGTCATCGTACTCCACAAAGACTCTCGGTGCATCCAAAGCCTGCTGAGGGTTCATCCCAAACTCGACCATGTTCAGCAGGACCTTAACACCAGGTAAATCTACTATTAAGTACCTTTTGCTACATAATTATTCACTGGTTAAACCAAAAATAGTCAATAGATGTATTTCTAAAAAAGGCTGAAGAGTAAAATCAGAAAAAGTGCCCATTTATTTATCCGATTAATCGTCAGAATAACTGACAGATTAATCGATAAAAATAAAATAATCGTTAGTTGCAGCCCAAATTCTGGTTACCTGGATGTGTCCTTGAGGTTGCATAAAGGCGCCCATGACCCCCAAGGCAGCAAGTAGTTGGGGTTTTTCTGAGTGGGTGAGGAGAGCAGGTATTATGGTGTGATACGGCCGCTTCCCTCCAGCAACACAGTTAACGTGGCTGCACTGCAGGGAAAAGTTGGCACCTCGGTTCTGCAAGAAAGAAGAAAATGAATTTGAACGCTGCCGTTCAGTCTGATTAGATCATGTTTAAATAAGGAAACAATATCAGCTATATTAAGTTTTTCGTACGGCATAAAACACAAGCTAGCCATTCATCCTGAGGTGGTGTTAAAATGCAAAACAGGTTAGAAATTAGAATATCATGTTCTCTCATTCATTTATAACACATATAGTATATTTAAAAATCGTATTATTATCTGACTAATTTACACGTTCCAGCTTTATTAATTAGGCCAGCCATAACAGCAGAAAGTGGGAAAATAGTGAGTTTCTGACTGGTAGTTCTAGGAAAACCAAGTTAATGAGCCACACAAAACAAATATATATGTTCAGAAGACAGAGGGAGTGAGGAGTAAGCGTCAAACTGCTTGTGAAATTAAAGCATTTTCAAGGATTTAAAGTGTGAACCCTGAAATAAAGAACAGTCTCCTCCTCTACGGCAGACCTGCAGCGAGAAGCCGCAGTCCTTGGGGACCAGGCCAGTCCCAAACCCCATGTAGGTGCTGTTGACAAACGAACAAGCGTTCCCCTGGCTGTCAATCACACAGAAGTACACCGTGTCACTTCCTGTCAGCAGGCCTGGTTCCACTCGCTCCATCACCCTGCAGATCCACAACAACTGTTTTACAATAAAGAAAGTAAACTGATCAGAGCTAAAACGATTAATCGTATTATCATAACTGATTAATGGCTAATTGGATCATTCGTTATTTGCCGGAAGAGCAAGATATTCAGAGCAGTAATTAAGCCAAAACTGTATAAATACATGTACATTAGTATTTAATATCATTTAAAAACCCTTCTGTTAATATGATATACCCAGAATTCCACAAGTGGCATAGTTTTAGATTCTGCAAAAAAGAAAAAAAAATCTACTACTAAACACCTTTTGCTATCCAATTATTAATCAGTTAGCGCAAAAATTAATCAATTAATGTACAAATGATCAAGCATACATGAACATTTTACATTTACTTCTTTAAAAAGACAGTAAATTATTTGTTTATCTGCATTTTTTAAATGATTTAAAAAATTTTGTACAAAAAAGATGTCAGAGGTTAAGTGAAAAATCTGCAGAGTGTGGAAATTTTTTTCTCTGATTGATCAATTAATCGTCAAAACAGTCTATAGAATAATCGATTAATCGTCAGAACAATTAACAAAATAAGCGATTACTAAGGTAATCAGTAGTTGCAGCTCTAAACCTGTTAAATGAAAACAAAACTAGCAGGATCCACATTTCCAAACTTACTTTAATTTATCATGTGATTAACTGATTTATTGCTTATTGTGACAAACAATTCAAAACCAAAACGGATTTCAACAAAATTTTAAATTTTTCACTCTTGTAACCATCAAATCTTCACTTCACTCTGTGTGCCTGAATTCAGCATAATGGATTATTATATTTTTACGGTTTTATAGTTAGTCTATTTGTATTACAACTGATAATGATTTAAAGTTCAAAGTACACATTACTGGTCAGTAAATACACGAGCTATACGAGCCCACACCCTCCGTATGCGAGGGACGAGACAAAGAGAGAGGAGCGTTAAGGTCAAGGGAAGTAAAAGTCCACAATCCTATCTAAAGTCAACAAAGGACAACTGGTACATCATGGCACCAACACACACACACCTGTCCATGCTGATGTGCCGCGCCCGCTGCTGGCTGTAGCTTTTCGCCAGTAAGCTTTCCGTAGGGACGGTCACATGGGCGGCGTCGCCGAGGTAACGGAAGGCATCCGTTTGCGCCAAACGCACGGCCTCCACGAACACGTGGATGTGGTCTGAGCTGTTGTGGCCTCCAGCTGAAACGCAACGAGACGCATCAACACAAATGTTTCCCTGTCAAATTAAAGGGCAAACTATTTCAGATTTTTATTTGTATTCTATGAACATTTTGAAAAGTGACGTTGTCGTAGGTGTTACGGCAATACCCAATCTAGTTTTTTTTATCAATATCGGGATCAATACAGATATTAATATTGGATCAGTGCATCTCTAATTTTATCTATTAATCAAATTTTTGTTTTTTGAAGATTTTATTTTTGGAAAATCTGGATTTTTTTCACCAATGCCCATCTTCAGTTTCCATAATTCAGAGTGATGCAAGGCTAAGGCGGCCATCTTGTTTCACAATTGTAATTTACAGCTTCTTTTCATTTGAACTTTGAATTCATGCCAACTCCACAACTAAATATTAGAGTAGGAGTTTCTTTCAATTATGAGAATAAAGTCATGTTTGGTTCTGGGATCAAAACTTTGTGTTTTGCGGCGAACACAGAACAGTCTGAGACTCTAAAGTCCTTCGGGTGTGGATAAATATTTCTCCTTTGAGCTTTAGAGGATGTCAGCTGCAGTTCCTGCCCTGTACCTTTGAGCTGAGGAAAGTTCTCCAGGATGTTGAGGAGCAGCAGAGCG